CTCAGTCCATTCTCCTCTCAGACCAATATAAAAGATTTTGGTGGTATCTGCTCCAAAGTTTTTTGAAATGTGGATAGAGAGATGGTAGACATTTGAAAAACGAGAAATTCTAGAGGAGGAAAAGAGGGAGAGGATCCAGTTAGAGTGCCTGGAGCATCTCCCCACCACATCCCAGCCGCCAGGTGAAACCCAGAATTGGGAACCTGAAGACTCCAGGGAGCTTGTTCTCCCTCTCCTCCAGAAAACCACTCAATCCCAGGAAGACTGGTCCCATAGCTAACTCTGAGCCAGAGACCGGCCACAGCAGAAGGGGTAAAAAGACGAATCACTACAGTTCTTGCCTTCAGGAAGCAGGAGCGAGAATTGCCGTTTGGTTTACTCTGGATCTCACCCTCAGGTAAAAAAGAGAACTCATGAAGAACCAAGAAAGGTGAGCACATGACATTTTGCTTGCCATCAACAATTCAAACTCACCAACCACTCTGAAGGAGAAAGCTGCAGCAGCCTGCTTCTGTAAAGACTCAAAAAGTCTTGGGGAAATTTCCTAAGGGGAAATTCTACTCTATCCTCTAGGATCACTGTACATTGGAATCTTCCCATTAGCAACAAGCCTGACATTTTCTTTTTTGTTGTTGGGGGGTGGGGGTGGGGGGTGGGGAAGCCCACTATACAAAGAGGAACTCTGAAATCTCTCCTCTGACTACCCTAGGAATTCATTTAGATCTGTCAACATGTTAAAAAGTCTGTGGCTTACACTGAATTTTTGCCAAGAAGTAACTGACCATGCCCAGGAACAAGCCTCCTTCACTGTCTTAACTCGTGTTTAATGCATGGAGCAGGCGACCACGCAAAAAGAAATGGCAAGCCCTGTAGATGCTGGCTGCAAATGAGGAAGCACCTGTGCTTCTTCCAGGGACGCCAGAGTGGAAGACAGGCCCAGTGCTTACTTTGTAGCATACTCTAATTCTCCCGTAACATCCCGGTTCAGACTAAAGGTCTGGTCTGGCTCCCTGTCTGTATCACCAAAGGACATCTGTGGAATGTTTTTATACCTGAGAAAGAAAAGGGAAGCAAAGTTCAAGACACATGCATTATCACCTTTCTCACATATTTAGAAAATCCTGATTCTTTGACTGCTTTTCAAAAGGAGATCAAATTTGGGGTGGGGGTGTGTGGGGTGGTGGTGTGTGTGTGTGTGTCAAGCTTTGGAAATGGTATTTTATTGGCAGTTACACACAAATCTCTTAAACCCAACAAGCAAAGTGCTGGAAAGTGCAACCTCACTCCTGTCCTAAGTGGCATCTCTGAGTGGGTTACAGTCACATGAGAAGCAATACACAAAGAGACGGCTCAAACTAGATCACGTGTGGCAAATGCCTGGAGAAAATCCCCAGCCTTGCACATTCACCGAGGCTTGTGGTGTGCATGAAACAGCTCACTCATGGGAAAACACACACTTTGGCAGGAACACAGTAAACACTGTTGAGAGATAAGCTCAGGTAATCAATATTCAAGCATTTTTTGTGTGTCCAAAAATCCCCTACACACCAGTCAACTGACAATTTTTTAAAAAGCAACAGTTTGAGGATGTCCATTTTGAAAGGAATATAAAAGGATGAAAAATCGCAATAGGCTTCAGAAAGTCAAGATAAAACTGCTGGTGAGTTAAGTGGAGAGGAAATGGTTTGAGAATGATGAAGGCAATGAATGTACAAATGCGCTTTACACAATTGATGTATGTGTAGATTGTGATAAGAGTTGTATGAGCCCCTAATAAAACGATTTTTTTTAAAAGTCAGTAAAGCATTAGAACAAAACAACAAAAAATTGATGGTGAGGAAGATTTTCCAAAAAAGGGAGTGGGGGAATCTAAGAAAACAACTGTCTTCCGGTAACACGCAAATTCTTAAGGACTGAGCCACCCGTGTCCTCCACCTATCCCCAGGGTTTATTAACACACCCACACGGGGAAGGCCCAGGTATTAGCCGCAGCAAAATGCATGTAATTTAAATAAGCCAATGTTGCTTCAAAGTGTTTCCAAGACTGATGCAAAGCAGAATGATATTAATGGTGAGCATTTACGAGCGGCATGAGAGGCAGTACAGCCCTGTAGTTAAGAGGGGCGTCTCCGGAGCTGACCTCCCTGGGTTGAATGCCTGCCTGGCTCAGTCACTTAGCAGCTCTGTGCCTTTGTCAAGTGATTTAACCTGCCTCAGTTTCCTCATGTGAATAATTGGAATAGTGACAAAGTAAAGCCAAAGTATCAACTCACCCCTATAATAGATGTGGAAATTAAAATGAATCATTTCTAAAGAGACACTTTTTTGGGTCTGTTTTATTATGGGAAATGTCAAATATACAAGTCGAGATAATATCATCTCTAATTACTTAACACTCAGCTTCAATAATCAGCACTAACCCAGTTTTGCCTATCACCCCCACTTTTCTTTTGCTTAGTTTTGAGACAAACCCGACAGCTTCTCACTTCATCCATAAGTATTTTAGTACGTATCTCTAAAAAAGCTAAGAACTTGTTTCCCCCACCCACAACCCCTGGAAAAAAAAAAAAGGCCAAACCCCATGGTACCATTTTGCATTCATTAACAATTTCTAGTCAATATCTAGTCTGTGTTTACATGTCTCCGATTTAAGAGTCTCCACTGAACTTCTCTGGTGTTTCAATGACATGTCATAGTGTAACGGCAGAGCCTTTTCCTTTCATTAATGGGACACAAAATAATAGCGCATCTGACAATCAATGACAATCTTAGAGTCAATGAAGTGCAATACATGTAAAGGGCTTAGAACAGAGAGTTACGTTTATATTTGTATCTGCCTGCCTCAGATTGGGCATTTACTGTTCCATCCAGTCTAGGTTCTCTACATGTTACATCTCACTTAATTCTCTCCTGGGTCTGATGAGCTAAGTACCACCAGCTGCTCATGAGGAGAAAGATGAGGCTTTTCACTCCCGTCAAGAGGCACAATCTCAGAAACACCCAGGGGCAGCTCGACCCTGTCTTACCAGGTCTCTATGAGTCAGAATCAACTGGATGGCAGTGAGAGTTGAGTTACCACTGCTATTCTCATTTTACATAGAAGAGGGAGGCAGAGAGACGAGAGGAATGTCCCAAGATCATTCGGCTAGACGGTAGTACAGCCAGAATGTGCTCAGTTTATTCCCGAGCCTGTACTTTTATTGGTTTAAACCACTCTTAGCCACAATACACTACAAATGTTTAGTCTTCTAAAGCCAATTCATCCCAAAGGCTACCGAGTCTCCAAAAATCACCTCTGGAGCACACGGCCTTCTTAAAATGGTGACGTATGTGGATGATTTGCTTTCAAGGTCATGTCTTTAACATCCAAATATAATGCTTCTTTTCTTTCTTAAATTTCCCTACAACCACTTGTAACTGCTCATTTTCTCAGATAAAAATATCTTTATGTACAGTTCTTTAAATATGAGCTTGTTGAAACCCATATTGCCAACCACAAAGCTCTCTGTGAGACACCACTTCACTCTCACCATCTGACATGTGTGCCTCGGGCACTTTCCTCCCAAAGAAAGCCTACATGCAGTAAGGTTAACTGTCCCAAACAGGGTAGTATCGCTGATAGCAACAGAACCATGTTACAAGAGGCGCACAGAGCTTAGTTAATTGAACAAACTCACTGTCGACTCCTAGGGACTTTATAGGATGGGGTAGAACTACCCCTGGGAGTCTCTCAGACTGTAGCTCTTTGGAACTTAACCTCCATGACACCAGGACTCCTTGTTCACTAAAAGGCCATGTAACATGCAAACGAAGACGTTCGATATGGACAAAACACACTTGAAGATTATTACTGTAGGAAGTGAAGCTAACCTCAAAAAACAGAATCTATAAATCACTGGAGAATTGCAACTGAGTTATTGAAAATATGGCTAAGTCACCAACAATTAGCATTTGTAGGATATCTCCAAATGGTGCTACGATGAGCCCTCTGGAGATAAGCTGCTGGTCCTAGAGATACTTCACCTTAAACAGCCTTTAATTTGGGAAGAGACAAATGTATGGAGACACAGAACAAGGCCAGGAAGCTTTAAAACAGATTACCAAAAAACCATTGGAGAGTGTTTAACCTGGTGAACAGAACAGTGATACTGTGGAAGACAGGGGTACCAGACGAGAGAGCAAGAGCTTCTTGAGGTTCTCAGCCCTGGCCACTTACAGCCGCATCTCAGAGGGGTGCGAGTCGTCATCCTCTCCCATTACGATGATGCCTTTAAGCTTGACATTGCCGGTAAATCTGCCAGGAATACAAGAAACGGTGGTCAACCTGGATTTCAATCCCTCCTTATCTGTGTGACCCTTGGCATGAGCCTCCCCTTTTGGGACTTCAGTTTACTTCTTGGTCGGATTTGTACTAGATCATTTCCAAGGCCCGTCTCCCTCTGGAGTGCTACAACGCTGAAGAAATTTACCTCGACTTCTCAGTTAATCCTTCTATAAATACACCTGTTTGCAATCTGCCACACGCCCCGCCCAAAAAACCCACGCTAAACCTATTAACCTCCTCCAACCCACCGGACTACGGGTCATGAAACAGATGCGTGTACTAGATTCAACCAACGAAGTCATCCAACTGACAAGATAACTGGTACAGCCTGTGTCACCTGGGGCAGGCACCGTGGGGATACTTACGGAATATTAAAAAGCAGCTCTTCGTCCGCATCACTTTCAACATACTGGAAGGGATGGGAAGTGGGGAGGAGAAAGCAACACGGATTTGCTGAGAACCTGAAATGCTTGGCAGCCTCCAGCCTGCTCTGTGACTGGGGTGCAGTGCAAAACGCCACCCCCGCTCGGTTTGCCTTATGGAAAACCCAGGCACGAACTTCCACCATCCACCAGCTTCCGGAATGGTGCGTAGATATCGTGCCTGGGTGCTTTTTAGGAGTGTGTGTGTGGGTGTGTGTGTGGGGGATGTGTGTGTAGCGTCCACCGCTTTCAAGGCCCCCCCCCCCCCAAGTGTTAAGAACCTGTGCTTCAAACACGACAACGCCCTCGCTCTTCCCGGTCTGGGCGCCAACAGGTGATAAAATCAGGCCGCCATGGGGACCCGGGGGCAGGCGGAGGGCTCCTCCGTCGGTCCTCACGCCGCGGCGCCCCCGGGCTTCTCTGGGCCTCCATTTCCCTAGCTGCACCATGGGGGGACTCGAGGCTGCGGGCCTGCCGGGGGCTGGCAGGGCAGGGGCACGGGGAGGCGCCTGGGCCACCAGGCTGTGGCTAGCTGGAAGAGCAGGGAGGAGGCAGGTAGAGAAGACCCGCGGCCGGGGCCCCCCGCCCCGTCAGGCCCACCTTGGAGCGGTCGGCCCGCTCCTCCCAGGGCTTGAAGACCCCGCGGCCGCTGCCCTCGCGGCTCTCGTTCAGGCACTGCAGCCGCTCCAGGTCGATGCGCAGGTACAGGCCGTAGGCCAGGCCGCGCTGCTCGGGCGGCTCCTCCCGCTCGGCAGCGCAGCGGCAACCGCCCCCGCCGTGGCTGTGGCCGTGCGACATGGCGACGCCACCGCCACCTGTCCCTTCAGCCCGACCGCGACCGAGCCTCGCTCCCTCCCCGCGGCCGCCAAGCGCGCCGCGGCCGCCGCGTCGTAAAAGGCGCGCCCAGTGCGGCGCATGCGCCGCAGGGAAAGGGGGCGGGGCTCGAGAGGATTGGCCTTTGAGGAGCCACGTACGGCGCGTCCGAGAGGCTACGCGGTCGCTTTAAACCCTGGGAACGGCCGCGGTGACTACCCAGCTGCGCACACAGGAGAAAGGTGAAGGGCCGAGGGAGCTGGTCAGCTGGCGTTCGAGAACTCCACTAAAGTCTGCTGTTTGCTTTCCCGTCCCGTCGGCGGCTGGTGGAGGAAAGAGGGCGGAATGCTAAGGACCCTGACACCATTCTCGGGCCTGCCGAGTGCGCCCTTGGGCGCTTAGAGCACACAGACGCCCTGTCGCCACTGCCCTGACAGCAGACGTACAGGTCGGGAGCCGGGGCCAGATCGAAGACAAGTCCGGGGTGGCTCCTGACAGTGGGCTCCTCTGACTCAGTCGTTTCCCCATTCTGAGGCTCAGCTTCCTCAGCTGTCGAAGGCAGCCACGATCATTGCTGGTTCCTTGTGTTACGGAGTCGCGCCCAACAAATGACCACTGACCCACAAGCAGCTGCAAAGTAACAAGGCAAAAGTTTTTTAGAGAAGAGCAAAGGTTTATTAGAGAAAAGGCAAAGATTAGAGAAGAGCAAATCCGGATTTGGGCTACAGCATGGCCACGCAGGGTCCAAAACTGAAGCGTCCGGCAAAAATTTCTTTGCCCTTTTATACACTTAAAACCAGTAAGGAGTAAGGAGAGGGGAGTGTGTGTAAGGAATGGGGAAGGGTGTCTGCACAAGATAACAGGATGTGGGCAGTTTAGCATGTCCTGCCCAGCTTATCTTGGTCCAGGTGCGCTTGTAAAACTTTTTGGCTGACATTTACAAGCGGCAGTTTGCAAGGTCACAGTGACTTGTTTTTCTAAAATAACATTCTTCTTTTAGGATGGGGGATGACCTTCAAACTCTTCAAAATGGGGTAACTTAAGTCAATTGTGAAGATTCCCTGGACCCTAACACCTTGGACTGCAGTTTTAAATTAAATCATGTATGACAAAAACTCAGCCCAGTCAGTACCTGACAGAAGAAACCAACAGGTTTTGGCGATTGCAATAATTTTACAAGTGGTCTTGGTTCAAATTCAAGCATTCCCACTTCCAGCCTGAGTGGCCTTGGACAAGTGACCTAGCCCCTTTGAGTCTTTTCCACCTGTGCCGTGAAAAGATTGGACAAAATGACCATTCAGCCCCCACCCTCTGGAATGGTTCAGAGCAGTTCCCCACCCCTCCAAATGGCTGACTGTGACCCGTTAATAGGTCTTAAAACCTGTTTAGAGAATGACAACTTGAATTTTAAAAATAAAATCAAGTTCCAAAATATACATTGAAGTTCTCAATTTATGGGACTTCAGTTTTAAGTGCCATGTGGTAAAATGTTTTCATATTTGTGGGCTGTCGGCAAAGGATTGGGGGAAAGCCACTGTTTAGAGTCAAAATGATTTTGTAGAAAACTTGCATGCTCCCTGGATGGGAGAAAGGGACTCCTGGGTGGTGCAAGCAGTTTTCAATCCCCTACTAACCCAAAGGCTGACAGCTTGAATCCACCCAGTGGGTGACACTCTGGGAAACGCTGGTAATCTCCTCCCTGAGCGATTACAGCCAAGAAACCCCTGTGGAACAGCAGTTCTATGTGGGGGTTTTATTTTGGATGGGAGGAGAGAAGGAAGAGAATTCAGAGAGACTTGTGTGAAACTCTATCCCTGCTCTTCACAGGGTTTTGACCCCTGGCCTTGGGAGTGTCCAGACAAAATGGAGACGGGGGTGGGTATATTCCATGTAAACCAAAGTACCCACGTGTTCAAGTCGCATTGAGAAATATCGTGTTACCCTTGTTCAGTTCTTTGTGAAATAGGCAAACTTATGCCAGGCCCAAAGTAGTGCAATGCTATTATGGATTAGGAGCCCTGGTGCCATAGTGGTTATGAGTTGGGCTGCTAATCACAAGGTCAACAGTTCTAAACCACCACCTGCTCCAAGGGTTTTCTACCACTGTGAAGTGTTACAGTCTCAGAAATTCACAAGCGCAGTTCTCTCCTGCCCTTCCAGGGTCTTTGTGACTCAGCATCAAGCCCACTGCAGTGGGTTGCTTGTTTTTATGATGGATTATTTCTGTGTCCAGGTGAGAGGCCTGGCCCCCAGCATACGGGCCAGTGATTCGGTAAACGCCTGTTCAGTGGAGTGATACACCCTACAGCCTTGACTTTGGAAAGGCCGAATCACTGCAGGACCAACACAGGTCTGACTCAGGACACCCATGGCTCTTCTCCCTGTCACCAGGTAAGTGGACTTGGGGATACGAAGAGCCGGGAGTTGTGACTATAGTCCTTTCCCATCCTACAGCCTCTTGAAGTACAGAATACTGAGCGATCCAAAACCATGAACTGAACCTTCCAGCTCACTGTGAAGGTTATTTATCTGGGTAGCAGAATGGAACACACTTTATTGCTAACTTTCAGTGAGCCTCCATTTGTACTCTTGTCCTGATTCCATAAATATTGAGGTGGTTCACATACATAGATTGCTAATAATGAGCATTCTGACTGCATAGGGTTTATTATGAAGGTAATACATGGAAAGTGTTTGATACCATTGGCTCATAAGTGAAAAGGGTGCTTGCTCACTGCCACCAAGTTGATTGGGACGCATAGAGATTCTGTAGGACAGAATAGAAATGCCCCGATGGGTTTCTGAGACTGTCACTCTTTGAAGGAGTAGAAAACCTGATCTTTCTCCTTTGGAGCAGGTGGTGGTTTCAAACTGCTGACTTTGCTGTTAAACAGCCCAACAGGTAGGTAACCACTACATCGCCAGGGCTCCTAGGAAAAGGTTCAACAACAACAAAACTCACCGCCATCGAGTCAATTCCGAGGCACAGCGACCCTATTGCCCCTATGAATTTGAGACTGTAACTTTACCGGCATAGAGAGCCCCAGAAAACCCATCTTTCTTTCTCAAACAGGAAACTGGTAAGGAGCAAGACTGTCGGCTCAGCATCCCCCTCTGGCTGGATGTGAAACTGCAGCTGCTAAGGAGGTTGATCTGAAAGATCACCTGGGCTGCAGGGGGATTTAGCTGTGATCTGGGGATTATCTGTGAACCTGGTCCCTTCTCTGAGTTTCTTAGGTCTGGGGCCAAAGAGGAAAAGCTCCTCCTATTTTCTCCTCCCATTCCCTGGCTCCACCTGCAAACATTCCTGTGTAGCTCAAGGACTGCTAAATCGGTAACCATCTTCCTTTCTCTTCTGCCTACCTTGCTGCTGCTGCTGCTGCTAGGTGCCCTTGAGTCCGTTCTGGCACCTGGAACCCTCTGCACAGCAGAACTGACCCTGCCTGTCCTGCGCCATCCTCGCCGTTGCTCCTTTGCTTGAGACCATTGTTGCGGTACTGTGTCACTCCACCTCCTGGAGGGCCTTCCGCTCCTTCACTGCCTCTCTACTTTACCCAACATGACGTCCTGCTTCAGGACTGGTCTCTCCTAACCACGTCTCGCTGTCCTTGCCTCTGGCCTTACTTCTCCCATCACACATTGGTCTGTGCTTTGAGCAGTCCGTGGTGCTTGCAGTGTTCTTCTCCAGCACCGCCATTCAAAGGCATCGATTCTTCTCTGGTCTTCTTCATTCCGTGTCCAACTCTCACATGCCTAAGAGGCAGCGGAAAATACTACGGCTGGGGTCAGGCACACCTTAGTCTTCAAAGTCACATCTTTGCTTGCCAATACTCTAAAATGGTCTTGTACAGCAGATTGACCTAATGCAACAAACGTGTCTTTGGATCTCTTGACTGCTGCTTCCAAGAGCCTTGATTGTGGATCCAAACAAGACAGCTAGGCTGGGAGAAATAAACTGCTTTCTATCTACCTTTGAGTTCTCCCTCATGACAAAAGAATAGTGTCGTAATTAACAGCAGCTGGTGGTTTCAAACTGCTAGCCTTGTGGCTAGCAGCCCGATGTGTAATAAGAGCTCCTACTAAAGAGAACAGTCACAATAATGGCTCACAACCATATAACTTACAATGTGTCAAGTACTGACCTGAGGCTTTCCTTCTATTATTTTTCATAATTGCAGGTATGCTAGTATTACCCTCACATTAGAGGTAAGAAAAATGGGGCGCAGAGAGGGTGAGTAACTTGCTCAAGGTCACACAGCTGATTAGAAGAGTCGTGGAACGAGGCCTTAAACCCCGGAGTCCACTCTTAACTACACGGAGTTCTTCAGGCATTCACCATGTGCTGGGAGCCCTGAAGACGTTGTGGAGTGAGCGCTGAACTGCTAACCGAAAGGTGGGCAGTTTAAACCTACCACTCGCTCTGCAGATGAAAGATAAGGCTGGGTGCTCCTGTCAACATTCAGAGCCTCGAACACGCTATACAGGGATGCTGAGAGTCAGAAGTGATGTGATGGTTGTGAGTTGCTGTCAGTGGAACTGAGACCAAGTGTCATGCAGCCAGTTTATAGCCAGTGTGTCAAAGCATCCATTAGCTACTCCTAGTGGCTTTTCCCCTCTGATTTTGTGCCTCATTTCTCAACAGTGGTGGTCACTCCCACCCTCTCAGCCATAACCCATATGGTTTCCCATGATAGAACTCCTCCCTTGTCTTATACTGACATATTAGGAACTTTTAAACTGATCAATAGGACTGCAATATAGCTAACTCTGAAACTCCACCCTGGTGGCCACGCACACATAACCTTCTACCATCTCAGCTTGTTGTCTTGTCCTTGGGCCCAAGCCCCTGCATCCAGGAGAATTGTCCTTTTTTCCCTCTGGATCCTATGAGAAAGCCTTCCTGTTTTAGACCAGCCTGCGTGGGCTTCCTTGTGCCACACCTGGAAGACCGCCCAAGACACACACAGACCAACTTTGGGCGAACTCAATCCACTCAGAGGC